TACACAGAGCAATTAGCTCCACTCCCAGCCTGCCCTTTGCTAGACTAAACAAGCCTGGCTCTCCCAGCTTCCTCTCCCACCACGGCCTCTCTCCATCCATTCTCCATCCCAGAGCCCTCTGCCCACATCTCCCTGCCCAGCATCAATCCCCACCACTCCATCCTGCAAAGCTAATGAATAAGCTAACGGTGCTAATTGGAGTGGGTGGGTGGGCTGAACGGGAAATGCTCCCGTGATTGCAGGCACTCCCTCTGGCCTGCCTGTGCTTTGCTCTTTACCTGTATTCAAAGGGTATTAAAAAAGAAAAATTAACAAGCCCTGACTACATAAAAGGAAGTTGCTGAATTTACAACCCTGCCTGCAGCTAGACCACCTTGTCTGCTGAGCAGGTTTGGACCAGGCCAATGGGAAACCCACTGAGCTGATGGGGAGGTCGAGGGGTGATAGAGGAAGAGGCTCCAGCTTTGCTCTGCTGCTGCTGGGTTGCACCACGGGCAACAGGTTGGCAATGTGGGCAGTGCCCTCCTACAGTGGGAATGTGGGCTGGGAACTCCCCATCTGCACTTGGAGTTTGGCAGTGTGGATCCCAACACGTTCAAAATCCCAACTCAAAGGCAGGAGGGCACCCCTGGAGCCTGAGGAAATTTCAGAGGGGATTGTTGTGAGTAGAACCTCCAGCATTTCATCACCCTGAGTCGTGGCTGGGACTTGGAGGTGACACAGTGGTCGTGGCTGCCTGGTCTCTCTCTTGGGGGAAGGTCCCATCCAGCACTGGCCTGTGGCTCATCTTGGACTGTTACATGCCAAAATCTTTTAAGGGACATCACAAATGTACATGAGAGGAGCAGAAAAGCAGTTTAAAGATAGACCCAGAAGCCTGAAAGCAAGCAGGAAACCCATCTCGAGCGTGTTCCTTCCTTTGAGGCTGAAGCTGAATCCCACAATATGTTTTCTTCCCACTAATGCTTGCCTAGCTTCCTTTGGAAACAATTTAGTCTCTGCCCGTGGTAGAATGTTTTTATCCATTAAGAAACGGATATTTTAAAGAAACCATAAGTCAATCTGGACAGGGATTAGGAAGCAGCAATTCAGTGTATTTGCTGGGCCCATAATTCAGGACTTAACCTCAGAGCAGCCACGTTGCATTTCGGAAACAATAGGGCACTCGCTGCCTATGCCAAGAGACTTCTTAAAAGTAATGCAATACTTTCAAAATGTATATTTAAAAAGAAAAAGAGAGAGAGATTTGACTCTAAATGCACACAGTGAGGCATTCTGCTGATGACTGGCTCACGTTAAAAACTCTGCGCCGACCTTAAGTAATGGATTGGGAATGAAGTTGGTTAAAAAACTGAGCAGTTTCCAGATCAGAAGATCTGAAGCTCTTCACCAGCAAACACAATGTCTCCACAAAATCTTTCAGCAGACACTAAGGCTAGGAGAGACAGGACAGAGCTTGCAAAAGGATCCAAGGTTTACTGTTCTCCCTGTGAAGTCAAAGGAATTTGGTTTCGCTGGAGCAACACGAGAGGACGTGAAGTGAGTTAATCAAAGCAGCTCGCTCTGATACCCAGTAGACCCAATTTAAAAATCACTTTGCAAGGCCCCTGCTACATGCTGCTGGACAATGCACACAATTGCCTTTGAGTGGTTGAAGATGTTTCCACCACAAAGCTAGAACACAGGCCTGGCTGCGTGGGCGGTCCTGCTCTGCTGCAATGGGAATCAAACAGCTCAGCACGAACCGGTGCCGAAACACGGGCAAGGGCAACACGGTGCATGGACAACTTGGGGCTTCTCCCCAGGAGGACGTGTGTCCTACACCATCCTAACTCCTCAGGGCAAGGGGAGGCCCCAAAAAGCAGCTGAAGGCAGGCAGAATCAAGTTGCTTTAACATCTTGCTTCAGTTTTGAGAGGTCGTTGATTTTTTTTAAGCTAGAAGGCAGAACTCGGAATGAAGCAAGCACGCAAGGCTCTGGCTTGGTGTGCCCCGTAATAAGGAACCATTTCAAGCCATCCCTAATGACAGCTTGGTGTCTCTCTGTGGAGATGGCAGAGCCAGGATTTCAAAACCTCAGATTTTCCAGACCTCACTGGAGAAGCATTGGGCCAAATCCTCAACGGAGGCAAACGGCTCTGCTTAGCCAAAGCCAGGGAAGCAGCACTGGATGATGATGATGAGGGTCTGTCTGGCTGACCTGCCTAGCTGCTGGGCCAGATTCTCATCACAGCTACGCTGGGATGAACTCATAATTAGCCTATTTTCCCCTCAAAGCAGTGCAAGTGGGAGTGAAAACTAGTGTGTGGGTTGCAAATGTCCATCCCCTTTGTGGGCAGGCATGGGAAGGGATTCTCTGCCTATCCATAAGAGGGATGGGAAGACTGAAGCTACTGAGATACTGAAGCTGCTGAGATACCCTGACACTGGGCATGGGGAACCAGAGAGTAGGATCCGACCCGCTCGGCCACGGAACCACACACACTCTCCTCCCATGTTTCCTGGCATGCCCTTCAGAAACGATCGGTTTTCTCTTACCAGGAGGTTTTTGGTTTGAGACCATTTAACCTCAGGATGATCATTTTACATGGGGGCTATTTATAACCTCCAGGGGCTGCTTTACTGAAAGCCTCTGCGAGTGGCTGAGGGCCAGAGTCTTCTCCCAGTGTCCTTGCTGTGATCTCCACCATGGCCACAGCCTTCGTTCCTGGGCTGGACCAGAGCAAACACATCTCCAAAGATCCCCAATTCCTCCCAAAGATAAATGCTGCCTCCTACATGCCTTAAAACTCAAACTCCACCATGTGCTCAGCAATTTGAGGTGCTGGATTCCCTCCTCAGTGGCTGAGGTTGTTTCTGAGCATCTCAGCTCCCAGCCTGGATTTGCCAGAAGTGGATTAGGAAACGTTTGTGCAAAGTGCTCGGTCAGCAGAACTGGGAGGCCAACCACCTCCAGCACACGAGCAGAGGGCACTGGTGGAGGGAAAACCTGCCTCTCCACTGGCCCCTTTTCATCCCTGCACAGGGATGCTAAAAGCATTAAGGTTGGGAAGCACCCACATAAAGGATAGCAGGGTCTGGATGAACTCCAGTCTGCCCCATTTGTCCCTCCTAACCGGTATCTCGTTATGCTTTTTACTAATCTGCTTCTCGTGTGTGTTACCCAAGAACGTGCCAAGTCGTGAGAATTACAGGCCTGTTAACTCCTGTGTTATTCTTGGCATGGGACAGGCTCCACTTGCTTGGGTAAAAATTATGATCTTTGTGAATAAGCCATGTGTGTGTGAGAGAGAAAGAGGTTTTTTTTAAAAAAAAAGTTATGATTGTGATTGGTTGTAGCCAGCCTTGTGTCAAAAGGACAGGGCTGAGATTAAAGCTCCTGAGCTGATCCTGCTCCCAGTTACACTGGTAAGAACCCACAGTCATTTTAAGACAGTTCCTCTGCCTTGGGAATGAGGGAGCCAAGAGCAGAGCGTGCACGAACCGCCTCGCGCAGCATTCCTGGGACTTCGGATTCACTCCACAGGAATGACTTTAGATGGCTAATTTCGTGTGTCTCCACTCCTGCTGTCACTTGACATTTGGGAATTTGGCACAGGCTGTAACTTGTGGCCAATCTCTTTTTTTTTCCTCGTCGAATTTGTGTCATCACCTGATTCTTCGCTCCAAACGACGTTCTTTGGGTTTCTGGCACTACAGGGAGCTGTGCTAATTTAAAATACAAATCTTTTCTTCTTCCCTCAAGAATCTCTTTCTTTATGATGCAGCCAACAGGACGAGCCTATAAAACTCTCTTTCTCTCTCGCTTTTTAAACCAGAATCAAATGATAATCCTACACAAAGTGCCTGTGTTCTTCTCATAAACCATGCTAATGTCAATGAAAATTCCAAGCATGGAGATTTGCATTTCAATGAGAAAGAAATTAAATTTTCACTGTAATTTTGGGTTGGGAGGAGCAGGGCAGATTTTACACTTTGGGTAACGTTTTCCAACATGTTTTTGCACCTGAGACACCCTTTGCCAATGACACTGAGGTTTGCAAACAGCTACATCACATCTGAAAATTCAACACAAAGGCTTTGGGAACATTTTTACATGAAACATTCCAACAAGAGTTACTTCTCACTAAAACCAGCTGAAATGCTATGCCTTAAATCCCTCTTAGTATCTCTGCTAATTTCCAAGGGAAAACACCACCAAGACTGAAAATGCACGGAAAAGGAGCATGTCTTGTGTGGACAGAAGAGTTTCTCCTAATTCATCCTGGTGGCATCTGGCTGTGCTGAGATGTGTAGAAAGTTGGGAGCAGCTGGATGACTCCAAATGCAAAGCTTAGTCTGGGGCTGAATTTCAGGTGTATTAGCAGACTGACCTCTCTCAGGTAACTCCAGTGGCAATTCCTACCTTTGTCCTGACAACAAGCTACAGTGCAGATTCCTGGGAATCTGTTCCACCCAGGGACTCAGGGTGCTCTTTGCTGATGGCAAATATGGGAAGAGCAAAGATTCCCTCTGTGTGTGTGAGCCCATGCAGGTGTGCATACGTGTGGGGAATTATGCTGGAGTTGGGTGATGGATCACCAGACTTGGCATAAACACAATGCAACAAGATAAGAAACCCTTTGGATTAGCATGTAAAGTATAAAACAGCCTTTCTAGCTGATGCATAACCATTCCGCGGGTGCCTTCATGTCAGAGAAGCTGCTGGGTTCAAAGTCTGTTGCTCTGATCTCGCTCGCGTTCCTGCTGGAGCTGCTAAGTTTTTCCTTACAGCCTGGATCTAGGACTGATCTAATGGGTGCAAAAAGGCTTCCAAGGTCAAGAAATCCTGGCTTGTCCCCCCCAGCAGGGCTCCTTACCCAGAGGAGAGCTGGGCTCCAGCCCTAAAATACCATCTAGAGGGAAGTTTGCTTGGCCAAGGTGACTCTGCTCCCTGCCCAGCTGTGCTGTGAGCATGAGGGTTTAGGGTGCAATGCTGGGCTGGGGCAACCAGCCAGTTACCTTGTATTGGAGTTTGAGCCTGGGACCCGAAGTGGCTTGGGGTGCTGAGGGATCCACGGGGGTTGGGTGTCGTCGGGGTGACTCTCATGGACTGGCGCAGCCGTTCCAGCTCCCCGTAGCGATCGGTGAAGGGTTTGGCTTGGTCTTCTAGCTTTTGTCTGTGCCCTGGAACATGATAAAAGAGTCTGATATCTGATCAGTTACCCTTTGGCTAGAGCACCCTGGTTACACACGGAGTCGGCGCAGCCTCTGTCTTGGCGGTTTGCTGTTATTCACACAAGGGTAACGCGTGACAGCCCCGGCAGAGATTGGCTCTCCAGGGTGGGTTGCACATCAGAAGACCTCATGGTTCAGAAGAAGAAGCCCACTGAAGAAGGGAAACAGTCTGACCCATGCAGGAGGCCCCAGACCATCCTGGGGAGCCTGGATGAGGATGCTCCGTGCTGCACCAAGAGACCTCCACCAGCCCTCACTCTCACCAAACACAGAGGGGAGACACATGCAAGACAGGAGATCCCTCATCTCCTGGCAAAGTGGTGGCTGAGGACCCAGCAAAGGAAACACTGAATGTTAAATATTTTCTACAGCGTTTGCTCAGTGCACAAAGAACAAACCCTTGTTTACTCCAACCTGCTCCCAGCTCTGCCCACCCAACAGGGTCTGAGCCAAGTGGGGCTGGAGAAGGTGGGAGGAGGGATGGGAGCAGCTTGCCCTGGTACCACACCTTGGCCATCTCACTTTGCTTCTCTCTGTTCCTCTTTTCCTCCCCGTAAAATGGGGAGACTAATCACTCACCTCCTCCAGGCAGGGCAGCAACTAATGAGCGTTTGTAAAGCACTCCCAGCTCCTTAGGTAGCAGCTGCTGGCACAGGGCAATAATTATTAAATTTATGCTAATTGCCCCGAGGCAAGAGGCGCATGAAATACACTTGATACATAACTTTCGCATTTTACTATATTAATCATCACCAAACGGCTTCACTCTCTCTGGGCCTGATTCCAGTCTCAGTTACACCCGCACAAAGCTGGAGATGCTCCAGAGGAGCCAGAGCTGCTGCAGCTTTACATCAGTGCTGGGTTCAGAGCTTGGATTCTCCTTGTTCTTTACCTGCTGCAGCCAGACAGCCACACAACACCCCCAGATATTTACACCTGCCATGAAAGGACCTTCCCAAGGTGGCAACAGCCTTGCCCTGGTGTGGTCTGAGCTCAGAGATTGGAGGCACTGGAGGTGTGCAGGCACACCATGGAGATAGGAGAGGAGCTGGGAAAAAACCATTCTGCAGTGCTGCAGAGAGCTGGGCCTTATCAGCCCAAGTCAAGCTCAGTTCTTGGTGGCTTTTAAGGAGAAAAGCAGCACCTTTAAGAGGTGATAAATGCAGCCCCCTCTAGCTCTCACTCCCTTTCCCTCCCCCCTCACATCTGCGAAGCACGAGCTCGGTATCAGTTAATAGCAAAGTCACAGAAAGTCCCCAGACTTCCCCCTCTTTAAATCTGATGGCTGATATCTCCTGATCTCCCATTTGCTTGGCTCAGGCTGCCCTTGCCAGGCTGTGTGTGGAGATGTGGGATGGGAGTGGAGAGCATTGACTCCGGAGGGGATCTCACGCTCCCAGCTGAGCTCCTGCCATGGCACTGCTCTGGGGTTGTCCCAGCAGCAAACCACCTTCAGCCACAGTTTCTGAGGGCTTTAGACCCTCCTGTGTGAGCTCCACATCCAGATGAGCCCCCACCACCCCCTCCAAAGTCCATAATCCCCTGGGCCCCACGTGTGTGAAAGTCCAAACTAAATGAAAATGGGCTGACAACAAAAGGCAAAACTCAGTGATCACAAATCCCAGTACAAAGCAAAACCCAGTGGCACTTTGAAAATGCATTTTCCCTGCTGTATGAAGAAAACCAAAGAAACCTCAAAGCAACACCATAAACTTCTAATCTCTGTGTGTCCCCAGACCCTGAGCATCTCTGCATTATCTGAGGCCTTCAGAGCCATGAGCAGCATCCATCATACAATGTTTGTGCCTCCCCCAGGGGAAAAGTGTGTGCAGTGAGGTGTCTTGTTTTGGCCTACATCTTATTATCTCAGTCTATATACGAGCAGGGAAGAAGAAAAATAGGTTTATGTTTTACCTTTAACCAATTTTCTCAGGCAGAGCTTAGCAGAGAAGCCAACAGGACTTCAAAGACCAAGTGCCACAGAAATTTAATGGAAATTAAATTCCCTGCCTCTATCTCAGCACAAACCTTATCCTGCGGTGGTATCTGGCATGTGATGGAGAAAATCCTGAAAAAATCTATCAAGTGATCTCTTATGCTGATAATGCTTTTAAAGACTATTCAGCCATACAACTTAACCAAGAGCTTCATGTGGCTGCGTCATGCTGCGCTGTGGTTGCTCCGGTCCCCACGCTGTCTGAGTGTGGGCACAGCCCCGTGGGGTTTCTAAGCCTCAAGTAAATAGCAGCACTCTAGTTACACCCTCAAAAGGGGCTGGTTTGTGGGGAGACCCAGCAATTACCAGCAAAAACCCCAAAACCCTAAGAGTATCCTGATAAAAGGAAAGTGGAAAACTTGATGCAAATAGAAGTTAAGGTAAACACGGGCTCATTTCAGAGTGAAACCCCAGAGGATGCTGTGTTGGGATCAGGACCCTTCCCAGGTCTCCTAGACTCTCTCTGGACTGTATCCTACCCAATCTCCATGGTAGGCACCTGGCAGGGCTGAACCATATGAAACGAGGCAGCGAACGAGTTAAAAACCACCAACTTGTACTGCCAACCCTCTTTAGCTCAGGCTGTCTCCCCAGGACTTCCTGCCTCTTGTCACTTTAGAGCTAGGGACATCAGACTTTGTCACGCAAGAGAGAATCGCTATTAATGGGTTTCTTTCATCAGAACAACCTGAGCTTTTTAATTTCTGCAGCGGTTGGCTTCATTAAAAGCCCTTCCCCATCTACCCACAGCTGTCACGGAGAGGAAACCAGTGCCGTCAAGTGAACAATAGCTCATACCTTAGAGAAGAGGAAGGTGGTTTCTAGCTTAACCCAAGGACTGACTCAAAGCCTCCCGAAGCCAGTGGGTGGATTTTTCAATCGACTTCAAACAACTCCAGACCTCATCCCAAGAAATCTGTCTGAGAAGACTTAATCACCCCAACCAGTGAATTTTGGGGCATGAAACCTGCCGTTGGGGGTTGGAGATTTTGCACTGCGTTTCCAGCTGGGCTAGCACTGGCTTGCAGGTCAATATTTATGGAAACAACAGTCTTTAGCAGGATTAAATGATGGCAGCTACTGACCCTGGGCACTTCTTGTCAAAGGCACAAGGGTTTTAGCGCTGGATCGGGTTTCCGAATCAGTTAACTCCGATATTGAACATGACATGATGTAAACATTGACAGATCACCTACGATCCTGATGTAATAACAAGATCTGTATCAGCATATCAAACAAACCATCCCATTGAACACTTCCCAGCTGGAAGAGCTGATGTGAATTTGACACTTTAGGCCAGTAATAAAAAGCATACTGGAAGTTTTGGGTGTTTCCTTGGAATGCAGACAGCGAAACAGTGTGTGCCACACTGGAGCTCAGGCCCCCAGAGCTAGGATTTAAAGACATGCTTTCTGCATTAAAACATTTCAAAGACTAAACAGACCCTGCTCTTCCATCTAGGAGTGTGCAACCTGATGTGGCTCCCCAGGCTGGGACCAGGATGGGGTTTCCAGGCAGTAGAGGGGAGAGTTCCACGGTGTTCACCAAAAGCAGCTTATTTCCCCAGGTTACTGAGACACCGAATATAAAGTTGATCAAAGGTAGAAAGAGGCTTCAGGAACCTGAGTGGTGCCAAAATCTCAGAGCTGGCAGATTTGACTTGAAAAAAACCACTCTCTGGGGTGCCTGGAGGTTCTGGTCTCCTGATTATCTGCGGATGGGGTTACAGTCTGAGAGACAAGGAGCTGCACAGGCTCCTCTTCACCATCATTGGGTTCAGATTGGGGTGTCACATTCATCCCCATCCCCTGGAGCAGCCCTGTGCTACCAAAGGATGAGAGAGCAGATGGTGGGAAGTGGCTTGGCCCTCCCCAGGAGTCTTGCTGTGAAACGCTGGCAGCAAGCTGGAGAGAAGGAAATGCAGAGTGTTTCAGCTCGCGGTGGTGGGATGTTCATTAACACACACATTTGCAGATCATTTCCTTAGCTCCAGTGAAGAGGAGACAAGAAGCAGGAGACAGTAGCATGGGCTGGGTCAGCAGCTCGAGCTGAGCCATCAGCAGCCACAGAGGCCCTCACTCATCCACCTTCAAAGTAAGGCTCCAAACACCCCACCAGCAACTCCCCCCATCCTCCACCCAAGTCTCTGCTCAAACATTCACAGCCAAACTCCAGGGCTTATCCAAGGAGGATCTCACCAGGAGCAGTCCCTGTACACATCCCCATGGCTTAGTCTCTACATGTCCGTGAGAATGGACCACAAGAAAGCAATCAACAGTGGATAGAACTCTGTCTCAATGCGCAAAACACCTTTCAAATCCCTCTTGTAGCCCTCAAAATAGGTACTTCAGAGAGACACGCCAATCCTCTACAGAGGGTTGAAATTTTTCCCAGTCTGAGTCTCGGCTAGACTATCAAGTCCCAGCATGTGCTCCAGAAAGCAGCCACATGTGAACTGCCTGTGTTATGGGAACAGCAGCCCTGTCCCTTACAGCAGATGCTGGGGTGGTTTCATCTTTGCACACCTCTAACACAAGACATGAACATCCCTCAGGTTTTCCCTGGAATCCCACCTCCAGCTCTAGACTCACCATGGGAAATTCCCAGCCAAGAAGAATGTGGAGCCCCACGGCCAGCGAAAGAGGGAGGGGAGGACAGTGCAGAGATGGGAACTGCTTTACAGCACCGGGAACTGGAAGGGACTCAAACATAACATCTCCACAGATGATGGAGATGTCCACTGAGCTCCGGTGAGCAGCAGCAGCCGCTGGCAAGTGCCAACACTACTTCAACCCACTTGTAAAAATTGAAGCCCAGGAGTTCACAGGAGGGAGCAGGAGCGAAATGTTAGAAGGAACCGTCTCTTCTGCTGCCGAACAAAGTCAAGCACAGATAACTCATTATTCACATGTTTGAAGTTGGCCTGCTTACGCCATTTGGAAAGAGAATCAGT